TTAAGGACGCTGACGGAATCATCAAGTACTTTCAAGAAGCCTACCCCTCAAAGCTGTCGATGCAGGCGACTGGGATTAACCCGCTTCTTGTGATAGCGCGCAAAGCATTTTCCGATGACAAACAGCTCTATGATGCTTACTATAAGCGGTACACAGAGGTTCGAAAGCTCATGGATCAAAGCAAGCCGCCTCTCCAGCAACTAACAGAGCGCGAAGCAGCAAATTGGAAAACTTTGGATCAAATTAACGAGCGTCGTGTGGAGTTGCTGAGGCACGTCAATCGCAAAATTCTACACAAGAAGCCCGAAGATTTGTCCGATGAGGACAAAATTGTGCTTTTTCGCCACTTGATACTCTGTTTGTATAGCTATCAACGGGCACTTCGCAATGACTACAGCGATTGCCCCATCGTGCGCTTAAAAGACATTAAAACAACTGAGACTCGCAAGATCATGTCTGGATCCGGAAATTACCTGTTGGATTTCGAAAAAGACGAATTTCGTCTGGTATTGAACGATTTTAAGACCGTCCGTCACCATGGACCGACTTCCGTAGACATGTCGACCCGATGCAACAACGTCATCTCGGAATCGCTGGAAGTCTTTCCGAGGAGGTACCTATTATCTCGAATCAGGTCGCCCGACAAGCCAATGAGCCGAAATTATCTCTCAAAATTCTGCAGCACATGTCTTTTTAAAGACGCAAGCGTGGGTTCGTGTCTTCTTCGCAAGATTTGTGTGAGCAATCTCTTCAAAGATGCTCCAAGCATAGCCGAGCGCGACGACCTTGCGCGGAGCATGTTGCACACGGCCGCTATGGCACAGCGAACCTACGAGAAGAAATTCGACCAACACGGCTCTCCGATCCGGTTTTGAACGATTCACAATGTGCCCGCTACGTGGCAAATTCTTTCAGGACACTTGAATGCTTGTGAACGCACCCAAATGGAGCGAGGGCACTTCGGTCTCATCTGACGTGTCTGAAGACGCCATTTGATGGTCACCATGCTGCCATGCACGATGTGGACCGTTATTTACTGGAAAGCCTGCATCAAAGAGGCGCTTTAGAGTCTTTTGTTGAGATGCATGTCCGTTTTTGTAGCGTTGAAAAGCTTGAGTCGACAAAATTGTGTTCTTGTGCTTATAATAATATCGTTTTGTGTACGTCTTACGAGCATCAGGATGCCTCTCATGAAATCGTTTGATTGAAGCACAGGTTTTGCAAATGCAGTTGTCGTTTGAGGCAGTTTCACTGTGCGACTTCATGTCAGTATTAACATCATGGTGAGAAAATTTGAACGATCAAAGATTGAACGCACGCGCGTTTGAAACGCCTTATTTAAAACCTTCTCATAATGTACAAAGAAATGGAAGGCGCGCAAGAAGCCGCAACGGAGAAGCAGCAATACGTCCACGCCCCTGTGGATGAGAGGCTCGTGCTCATCACCCAGGACGGCGGGCTTCATGAGCCCAGCAATGATGCTCCACTAAAATCACGTTTCCAGCAAAAGTATCGTATCGTCAAAGGTATGCGATCTCTTTACAAACAGGGCATGTACACCATTCCGCTCCGGCTTGAAATGGTTGAGGGAAAGAAGAAAGCGACCTTCAGCGGTGGCAGTTATACCCCGTTGACGAAGTCGTTAGCTGGTTGGAAGGAAGGGATTAATTCCTATATTGACAAGGCCGCCATGGATGTTAATGCTCTCGCGGTGCTTTGTGGCATATCCGATCTCTATGTCGTCGATTGCGATGCCACGGAAAGATCTTCAAAGGACGAGGACCCGCGCAAAGAGGCAAGCACAAGGCTCTGGAAGCAATTGGTGGAGCAACACGGAGCCGTTGAGACACTAAAGGCAGCCACCGGATCAAGATTGGGGTTGCACCTATATTTTAGCCGAAGCAAGACCTCCGGCCTCCTCAAAGATACAAATTTTGCAAGGGTCGCATACGAGGGGTCCACATGGGCCATTGATGGAAGAGGAAAAGACGGGATAGTATTCGTGTCTCCCTCAAAGTACTTTGACGAAGCTGGGAGAGAGTATGGCTATTATTGGAGTGGATCCGACGAATCGGCACCTCGCAATGGGATGCCAGAATGGTTGGTCCACTTTTTGAACGACGCCGCGTTCAATGAGGAATCACGAATTGCGAAGCAACATGCTCCGATGTCAATACCAAGAGCAAAAGATGTGGCACCATGTAGCACCGCACATCATGATACGGAAGCCAATCGATTGGCCGGGCTGGAACAAGCGCTTGAAGAGATCAAGAAGCTGCTGCGTGCTAGAGTGCCAGGCGACTCTAGCATCTTTAACGGCGTTGGGAAAAGGACCACGAACGGGTGGTAGATCCTCAAGTTCAAAACGAACGGCATGCGAACGTGCTTGAATGGCCACCAGCACGATTTGAATCAATTCAGCATCCAGAGCAACGGGTGCGTGCTTGTGTACCGTTGTCTGTCCCCGGATTGCATCGATCGACCAAAGCCTCTGCTAGGCATCTACTTCTGGCCTGAGTGTTTGCCTTTGAGAGTGGAACGGGAACTTTTCAAAACTTGCGAAAGCTACGTTTTCCCCTTTAAGCCGCCCGCAGATGGAAGCGACTCGGAGGAGAAAAGGAAGAAGGAGGAGGACGACGAACGAACAAAGAGAGCAAAAACGGACATGCACGATCTCGTTCTGCGTATAATGAACCATTACTTTGCCGTTGTCCGCTCGACAAAGGCTGTTTATCTGGAAACAATCTACTCGAGAGACGACAACGGGCAGCTTGAGCCCAAGGAGACCCTCGCTCGGTCGGGTCGCGACTTTCTGGAAATCTGCAGAAACTTCCAACTTCAGAGCCTACCTGGGAAGAGCAAGGAGGTTGCCAGGTTTTGGGAGAGCAGTTCTAAACGCCGTGAATACGATCAGATTGTGTTCGAACCAGACCCATCAAAGGGGTCCTCACGACACTTCAATCTTTTCTCCGGGCTGAGACTCAAACCGCTCGACCACAAATTGACGGAGCCTGAGCTCGTGGAGTGCGAGGAACAGATGCCAAAGCTCATGTGGCACCTTCGCTACATCTTGTGCGATGGGTCAAAGGAGCGCTTTGACTATACTATCCGTTGGATGGCACATGCCGTTCAAAAACCCTGGAAGAAGATTGGCGTCGCCCTAGTGTTTCGAGGTGGGCAAGCGAGTGGAAAGTCTTCGTTGTGGAAATTCTTTGGACGCAAGATCCTCGGTGCCAAGTACTATCTTTATTGCAATCAGATTGAAACGGTGATTGGCAAATTCAATTCACTAGGTGCCAACAAGCTTCTTATTGTCTTTGATGAGGCGGGCAATTGGGGCGGAGCGTTTCGAATGAACAATCGGATGAAATCGCTCATCACTGAGGACGAGACGTGTTTAGAGCACAAAGGCCGTAATCCAATCACCGTCCAGGACACGAGCAATATCGTTTTCACCACAAACAACTTTTGGCCAGTAAAACGAGAGGCCGACGATCGCCGATATGCTTGTCAGCAAGTATCAGATGCCAAAATGGGTGACAAAGAGTACTTTGATCCACTCGTGGAAGAGATGGAGAAACCCGAAACTGCATATCACCTCTTTCAATACCTGTCATCCACTGATATTTCTAACTGGAATCCTCAAAAGATGCCAATCACAACCTGGGGGGAAGGCTTGAATGTAACGATTGGGCCTAGGCGAAGTACTCAGTGGACTCTGGGGCCTAGCTCAAGCGTTACATGCGGTACTATACCCCAGGCTGGGCGAAGT